AGCTTCCTTGCAAGTTCAACATAAAAGCTCAGCTCTAAGCTTGCCTGGACTGAATTGAACTCCCCAGTTTATCTTCTCAAAATGAGATGCCCTGCTCAACTCTTGGGACTGCTAATGCTCCTGGTACATGACAAGGACAGAGGAAGATAAAGAAGGGGAAGTGATTTTTGAGGTTCTCCTATTTCCTGTGTATGTCTTGTCTATGTGTGAGATCAGCTGTCTCTTATCTGGAGAATGTGTTGTTTAGGTCAGAGAGGGTCAGAAAGATCCTAGAGGGAGTCAAGATTTGCTGTGGTGAAGACTGACTCAGAGAAGAGAAGGAGCCTGGATGAAGATAGTTCTCAAATCCTTCATATAGTTATATCTCTTGGATTCTTCTTAAATTTAGATGTGTAAGGGATATTAAAAAAAACTCTATATCAATGTCAAGATGGGTATAGATCAGAGTCAGAAAATATGGTCAACATTCCTGGGCTTATGGTTGAATATCTCTAGCCATTTATAATAAAAAATAACTGAGGCAGCCAGGTATTGGTGGCTTATGTTTGTATCCTAGCTACTCAGGAGGCTGGGGTCTGAGAATCATGGTTCAAAGCCAACTGGAGCAAGAAAGTCTGTGAGACTCTGATCTCCAGTTAACTACCAGTAAACCAGAAATGGTTCTATAACTCAAAGTTGTAGAGTGCTAGCCTTGAGTATAAAAGCTCAGGAACAGTGCCCAGGCCCTGAGTTCAAGTCCCCATGACCCAAACAAAAAACAAACAAACAAAAAAAAAAAAAAAAAAGAAAAAAAACAAACGGAAATAAATAAAGCAACAAACAAACGAAGGATCGCAATCAATGTAAGTTTGCACTTCTCTCTCATTATTATAGGATTGAGTGTTGATGTCATGATGATTCAGACTCCACTCTCTCTGCTTATCGCTCTTGGAGAGCCAGCCTCCATCTCCTGCAGGTCTAGTCAGAGCTCTCTGCATAGTGATGGATATTCCTATTTATACTGGTTCTTCTAGAAACCAGGCCAGTCCTCCCAATCCTTGATCTACTTGGTTTCCAACTGATTTTCTGGGGTTACAGACAGGTTCCTTGGCAGTGGGTCAGAGACATATTTCACACTGATCATGAGCAGAGTGCAGGCTGAGGATGTATGAGTTTACTACTGCATGTAAACTATAGAACATCTTCCCACAGTGTTACAGCTTGGAATGAAGGCTGCTTTGAGTGTGGTGGCCCAGCTGTGCCACGTGGTTCTTCCTTGGGGAGCAGCACAACAGATTCCTTGCAAGTGTGGGGAAGGAGAGGAAGAATGCTGGAGAGTAGTTTGCTGATGAGGGGTGTGACCATGAGTGCCATGTGATTACCTACAGCTCAGACAACCATAGTCCTGTCACAGAACCAGTGTCTTCTAATGACTGAGTGTGCAAGAAGGCTGGTGATTCTTATGAAATCACCAGATTTGGGGTGCCTTTGCTTCCCATGATTATACAGATCATTCTTAATGTACATCTGACTGATGAGCATGGATCACTGTTGCCTCTGCTCCATGTTGGGAAATCCCTGATGGATCTCTGGTTATCATGTCACTGCATGCAACATATCCCTAAACCCAGCTGATCATTTGTGATATCTACCCATTGAATCAGAACACTGTTCTGAAGTTCTTCTTAGCTGTGATGAGGGGAGGGGGACTCAGAGAGACAGACCCTCAGGTTGCTTTGCACAGAAAATCCACTGAACATTGGTGATTACAAACAATGCATTGATCTCCTGTGAATCTTGCAGAGGTGCATGTTCTATCTGAGATCAGGCCCTGCCCTTCCCTCACTCATTGTTCACAAAACACACCCCAGGTCTTTTTCTGTACTCATGTCATTGACAGCCATCACACCCCCATCAGAACCCAGTAATGAAGCCAGCGGTAGCTACCATCTCTGTATGTCCTTGATGATCTGATACCTGCAGTCAGCACCATCTTACAGCCTTATGTTAGGACACAATCAATTTACATATATCATTGTGTACATTTTTCCAAGTATATTGAAAAAATTGTTTGCTCTGTATTTTCTAGTTTGTGCTTCTAATTTTTAAATATGTCTTAAGAATTTCAAGAAGATATCAGCTATCTATCAGCTATAACAACTCAAACAAGTCATAGGACCCTGTTTATAATGATCAATATAGAAAAGTCTAATTGAAGGCAAAGAAACAGGATTTTTTAAACTAATTTTCTACTGCCAACTGCCCTCAGCTAATCAGTGGAGAATGATGTGCCTACTGAATTCTTAGTGGAAATTGAAATAGTAAATTTGGAATGTAGGAAACTTTAATTATATCATATAAAATATGTCAAGAATTGGATTTTAAGATGTGCCAACAATAGGTAAAAGTAAGCTGTGGCTCAAAGTGTAGAGCACTAGCCTTGAGAAGAAGAGCTCAGGGACAGCACCCAGACCCTTAGTTCAAGCACCATGACTGACCAAACAGAAGGACTACTCAGAAAGAAGTGGAATTTGACATTAGGACATCCTGATTTCAATGCTATTTAATATCAGCTGGTCCTTACATCAGTAAAACACTAGGGGTCGCTCAAGTCATATGTGTGCAACTTCTAGACTAAAATTTTCTCACTGTTTATTAAAAGTTTACTTACACTAAAAGCACCTGTGGCTCCTACTTCCAATTTTAGATAATTGAGAGGTTGGGAATATGTGATTCAAGGCCATCCTGGGCAAAAAAGTAAATAAGACAAAATCTGAGCTTATAGAACTGGATAAAGTGATGTGTATCTGTTATCATAAATTATGTAAAAGGTTGAGATTTACAGGATTGCATTTCCAAATTTTATTGTTTTAATCTCATATTCACTTTTTGCTGCTACCTTACCAGGATTTCTAGATCTAGTCTCCAGCTGCTTCTTTTCTTCAAAGAAGAGATAGGTCTTAGACACTCTGAATAAAATATATAGTCCTCCTCACTTGCTAGTTATGGAGCACAAGAGAGAACTGGTTCACAGAGAAAAATTCTGCCTTTATGTTGTATTCAAATGAGAGAACAGTGTTAAAAAATTAGATACATACATCATGTCTGCTTAGGGGATATCAGAGTACAAACTAAGTAGCCATTTAGGAAACAGGCAGGTTCAATTCCAAGTGCCCTGGGGTTCAAAAATATACTCCAGCCATGCAGAAGTTGGAGTGATGCCTTGGGTTTGGTGACATCACTTACACTCTAAGGAAACTCTCCTCTTTGATCAGAAAGAACATCCATTTCAGCCTGGGAGAGGAATCTGGTTTTCTTGTGTGAATTGGTCTCTCCTCGAACAGTGTGGGATAGGGCTGTGTGTGAGGACAGAGTCTATGGTATAGTGTGCAGAACCTGCAGTCTTATCATGCTCCTCAACTCAGTATAATCTACCTCT